CAAAGCATCAAATCGAAGCAAGTCACCATGGGCCGGCCATCCGTGAAAGAGCCCCTTGAGCTGTTGAAGCATACTGAACACCATTGCTTGGATTCAGCTTTGGACTAAGTGGAAAGCGCGTAGAGACACCTCCTCAAAAGTGTTCAATTTTTTGTGCTTTCCGGTCGGACCTTATGGGTGGCCCGGTGGCCCCCTATCCACCCGAAAAAATCGTATGGTTGCTCCCCAAGTTTCGTTCCAGAGAGGATGTCTTGCTACTTGCCCTACGCTGTTCGATTGGGACGAAAGTGTGGATGGTCGGCTTTCAGCTTGCCGTGATTCCAAGTCCACGAACAGGCGGGGACTTCATTTGCTCAACAAGCGTTTCCTTTGACGGGATCTATTCACTTGGGCTGTAATATCCCCGGATGAAACCTTTGTGCCCTTATACCTAGTATCGGTCAGTATTTTTCTTTCCGCAGCATCTTTTTGCAATGTTTGGGAGGCTACGAGTAGTTCGGTGCACTATAAGTCGTTGACGTGGCCAAGTAACTCGCTAGGAGGAGCGAGCAGCAGGCGGTCGCACACGGACTTGTTTTGCGTGTCTCAAAAGCAAGTTCGGTCATCAGGAAGAGGAACTCACAGAGTTGGTGCGAAGTTAGCAAACCAAAACAGAGCATGCGACTGGGCAGTTGTTTGGATGGCAGGCATAAGTAACGACTAGGTATCGCTGCTTATCGTATTGAGTATCGGTGCAGGGTCTGTAAAGTGTCCCATGCCAGAACCTCAGTTTAGCGACAATTGCGGGCTTTGTCCATGCCTCGTATAGCTTCTCAACATCACAGGGTGCAGCTCACAAGAAGGCAAGACTATTCGAACCAATTGTGTCTTTATGTCTTCTCTGGGGGTATCACTCTGTTGTTAGTGTTCCTCATCGGTTTGCAATGGTTTGGACAGGCAAAGCAAGTTCTGGGACAGCTCCTCACATAACGAAAAGGCAAAACACACAAAACACATAAAACAATCGACCCACTTGGAGTCCGAATTGTCAAGTACCATACCTTTCCTTCTAGACATCCTCAAAGAACAGTTGACTTGTCCCAAACAGCTCAGACTGCTTTACATCAGCTTTGACCAAGCCGTCCCCACTTCAGACCTGTTTCCTGGGAACTAATGGCACCTGAGATGGAATTCTATGTGGTTTTGGAAGGGACTGTGTTTTCCGTGGTCGCAGAAGGGGGTCATATGCATTGGCCAGTCACTAGAAAGCATCAGGTCAGCTGGTCGACGGCTTGACCAGCCCTGCCTTTGCAAGAAGCACAGTCTGCACGTACTGAACCAAAGGCCCCGTCAAGCCGTTCCTGGCAGGCGGATCAAAGTTGTGGAAACGCATGGAAGATCATGGCGGCCCATATCTTAAAGAAACAAAAAAAAGCGCCCGGCACCTACAAATATGCCGTGCAGATCTTCTGACAGCCACTCCACTGGACACCAGCCATCATTCGCGTCGCTTGTTTTTTGCGGTTCTTGTGGGGACCCGTGACCAATCTCTTTCCAGTAGAAACTGGGGAGGTCTTACTCGTTGGGCAAAGTCTCATATACCAAAGACGTACCCAAGATGGCAACCCAGGGCTCCAAGGGGCAAGATTCTCTACCGCGGGTTTCTTGGGGAGCCAGACAAAACCACTAGATACAACGCTTGCACATGGATGATACAAGCAGATGAGTTGCTTTGGTTGCTTCGTTCTTGAAATCGATAAATCAAGCAAGGCATCCTAGTTCTGCCCAGGTCTGCACTCACAGGACCTCAGCTATGTGTTGGCGACCATCAAGCATGATTTTGTTGACCAAGTTTATTGGCAGTACTCCTCAATCAGACACAAACTCCTCAGGGAAAACCCTGGGTCAGAAAAGCGTAGTCGCGTGCAAGAAATAGTCTAGGTTGGTAACGCACCGTGACAAGCTCGCTTTGATACCTCGCTTTGATTCCCTGCCGGTGCCAAACTGCCCCACACACCAACGAAGTTGAACAAAGAGGACTACAAGAGAACTGCAGGGCTGGGCGGCTTCTTTGCATATCATCAAAGGTTACACCAGGACCATGCAGTAGCTGTGGACATGTCCACGGTGAACCTGTGTGGCACAACACCAAACCTGCGACGTTAGCATGAAAGCTAAATGAAATTGGCTCTCCACCCCTAGAAAGCCCAATAGCATAAGCAGGCAACATGCGCCCAAACAATGCGACATGCTTTGACGCTGGGCTCAAACGCACTTCCTTGGCTCAATACATGTTGCACGTGTGAGTCAGCCTGACAAAGCATAACATGGACTGCACGTACATGGGATGTGCAAAGGTGAACTGGCTACGTATCACTCGATTATTCATATAGCGGCGAATAATTAACAGTTGTTTTCCTTATTCTGGTTCGCCCCCATTGTTGAGGGGTACCAGAATAACTGAAAGTTGTTTTGCCCGGGGGGAAAATTCAAAAAACAAATCCACAAATCATTTTTTAATATAAAAACAAAAAACAAAAAAACAACATCCCCCCCAAACAATCACCCAAAATCCATGTTGACCCCATACCACTTACTTAAAAGCATTCCCCTTGGCCCACTTGCTTAAACGCATTCCCCTTTTAAGTGGTTGCTCAAACACAAAACCCAAAGCCACCTGAAACCTCTGAAATTTGAAAACCATCCCCAGCCCTGAAACTGCAAATTCTTCATTAAACCGTGTTTAAAGAATATAATAATAATAATAATAATAATAATAATAATAATAATAATAATAATAATAATAAACAATCAGGACAAGGGTGCCCCTTACAGACTCCACTGAAGCACAACAATGACATTCTTTAGGGGGACCACATTAGTTGCAAGCCCCCAGCCCCCTCCAGAAAACAAACTGTCAGTTGCTTTACTCAAAAGCATTTCCCTTTTAATTGGTGGCCCAAATATTTAAAAGCACTCCCCTTTCAATTGGTCGCCCACTTGATTAAAAACATTCCCCTTTTAATTGGTTGCTCAAACACAAAACCCAAAGCCAGCTGAAACCTCTGAAATTTGAAAACCATCCCCAGCCCTGAAACGGCAAATTCTTTATTAAACCGTGTTTAGAAAATGGAAAAAATCAGGACAAGGGTACCCCTCAAAGACTCCACTGAACCATAACAATTGCATTCTTTAGGGGGACCACACTAGTTGCAAGCCCCCAGCCCCCGCCAGAAAACAAACTATCAGTTGCTTTACTCAAAAGCATTCCCCTTTTCATTGGTGGCCCACTTACTTAAAAGCACTCCCCTTTCAATTGGTCGCCCACTTGCTTAAAAACATTCCCCGTTCAATTGGTGGCCCACTTGCTTAACAGCATTCCCCTTTCAATTGGTTTCTTTCTAGCTCAAGCCCTCCCTGGCTGAAAGGCACACCCTTTGAATGGCTACTAACGTAATTAGTATCCCAAAAAGTATGCTCAGGAAGAAGTGGTTGCAATACTAAGTAGTCAGGAAGAAGTGGTTGCAATGCAAAAATAGAATTGCAAAAAGGAAGTGGCTTCAATACTAAAGTAGAATTGAGCCCTAAAATCCTCCATTGTTTGGACGTCCCAAAAGTGAGTCTACATTTTTCTGGCGCCTCCATTGTTCAGGGGGGGGGGCCTTTATTAATCAAGTTGTAACATTACATTGACTAAGCTTTGGACGGATCACACATAGTTTTGCAGAGAAGCACGTTCATACACACAACATATCTCGGTGGACGCATGACACAAGCGCTCTATACATATTGTCTTTGCTTGGCCGGCGTCAATCTGCCCATGGTATTAAATGGTGTATGATGCCATGTTTGCCAGGTGGTGAGAACACACAATTTACATGTACACTCAGCACGCAATGACTTTACTTGTGACTGTCCAGCAATTGCAAAACACCACTCGCACTTTACGACATGCTTCTACCATTCTGCGTTGTGCAGTTGTGCAAGGCAGAGCCTACTGCATTGCGGAATGGTGTGTGTTGCCTTTTCTGTTCCACTATGCCTCTGTTGCATCAAAGCATCAAGGAGTTGACGAAGAATTGGCCAGGTATCAGCATCAAATACCTGGGCAAACGTTTCACACCCTCTGCCCGCACAGCGGGTGGGATATCCTTTGAGAGTATGACGACTGGTCGGGTGGTGGAAGGGACCATTTAAACAGTCTACAGGAAGCACCCAAACAAACCCCCGTTGTGGTGATCAACCCTGCAGCCATTTCAACCCGCACGAGAGGCCCCAGCTCACAAACCTACGGCCAAAGCCATGGCATATCCTAGGCTTCGAGCGTGAAACCCAGGTTCTGGCTGGATGGGTTCTGACTATTCTGCTGGAAATGTCATTCACCAAACATCTTGCAACAAATCCAAATGACAGTGGCAAGGTTTACCTCTTGCCCGCCATCACGTCTGAGCAGGGTCCCATTGTTTCCCTAAACAGCACGTTTCAAACGTGAGCCTCCAAACCAGAAGTGAGCAGAAAACCAAATGGGTTAAACGTCCACTGGTTGGGATACTTGCTGCAACAACTGCAAGGCCAGCCAACATGTATCTAAGTACATCTTGTATGCGATGACTCAAGGTTCCTCAAGGTGAGTGGGAACCTTCAGCCCTATGAATACATTGGTTCCTGAACTTGGAAGCATTGCATACACCTCCTGCTTCTTGTTGCCTTTCAGGGGAAATAACGCGTCTCATGATTGGAGTTAGGATCTTTCATGAAACATCTCTTGCATGCGAACCTTGTAAAATGTAGCCTATGCTTCCCCGCAGGAAACCGCCACAAGCAGGTGCCTCAGAAGGAGACTCCTCCACACATAGGTGCTTTTCGGAGTTTGGGAGAAGCTCAAGCACAGGCTGCTTCCCCCGAAAAGGTTCAATAAGCGCAAGGAGCCCCCCTGGATCAAAGCACTTGCTTCCCCCAAAAGACGTGGACCATGGGCTGCCTCTGGCGTGCAAAGTCTTTTGGCGGGGATATTCTCAAAGTCAGATTTCGCCGCGCGGCACGTTGTATGCGAGATCGCTCTCCTCGCCCACGGGGCTGGCACTGGACAGCTCGTCCAGGTAGTTGGGCCCCTTCAAAAACTTCTCCTGGCGGACGAAAAAAAAAACACCGTTGGGTTGGGCCTGGCGGCTTCTTCAGCGCCAAGGCGCCGCTTGGACCGTCTTTTGCCAAGGATTTGGACCACTGGGAACGCTGTCCACCTCTCAAAAGGACCCAACTGTACACCTTTGTGACGCGGCAACACATTAGTAGACGCCATAAACAAACCCAGTACTGTGCTATGCATGCAAGGGGTTGGTCTCCTTAACACAATTTAGTGGGGCAAGCAAGCATGCTCACTGTCATTATAAACACTGGAAGCAGCTTGATGGCCTCATGCTTCCTTCTCAGATTTGTCCAATAGAAAGAGAGTTGGAGTTGGGTATGTCCAAAAATAGAACCTCTTTGGGAGTGTCCAGTCTTTTTTGGAAAGAACCAGAAGGAAGCAACATATTTGAAAGGGCCCCTTGCTTAGGCCAAACCATTTACAGGAAAGTTGTGTCGCCCTGCCTTGTCAGCGATCATCCTCAGTTGTGCATCTCAGCATCTCACATGACAGAATAGCCTTGTGACAAACATAAGACCAAACCCAACCGACCAAACCAAACAGGTCTCGAAATGATAAATGTGCATTTCTACAAAGTTATGGACCCCAGTAGGCCCATAGTACTCTTTTGGTTGTCCTTTCAACCAAAGGGGTGCACAGTTTTAGGGGACAGGTGCGAAAGTCTGGCGATCAAAGCCTCAATGCCAGGGCGCACGGAGTAGCACATCAGACCAAGATTGAAGAGGGTGTTGCCTCATTGCGCAACATCTTGCGTAAGACATTTCGGGGGGTTTGTCCAAATTAGGGCCAGTGTTTGGTAGCCGTTTGGTTGCCCCTTGAAAGTAAGGCGGTACACGGCGGCACCAGGGTCCAGAAACGAGGCCATATGTTTGACAACACCTTTGGAATCTCCATGAGTTCTGTAGTCAAGGCCCAGGAGCAAAAGGTGATCACAAAGTTGGTCAGGAAAAGCGACACATCCGCTTGGTCCTCGCCCGAAAACCGCGAAAACGCGAAACATGAAAGCAATGAGACGCAGAAAGCAAAACCAGGTCGTCACGCATCTCACTGCTTCTGGATGCACAGCCCAACTCCCCTGAATGCGCAATCTGACTTCTTTGCTCCCAGGCCCGGCAATGGACAAAACGGCCGCCCATTTTCAGCAAAGCAAAGTGTGCCCAGCTGCTTTCCGATCTAGCTGCTTGAGAATATGCCAGTCACACAAACAACGTAGATCCATCCAATCCCCAACGAGTGTTCACACAAGTGTAAAGCTATCCATCACTACCCAATATACTTCGATCCGACTCAGGTACAAAAGGGCTGCCAGCCAAAACCTGCTCTGCCCTCTCACCTCACACACACACACACACACGACCGATGTATGCTTGCAAAATGCTCGAGGAGTGCTTCATACAGCTGATTCTTCTTGAAATCGAATCGTTCAACCGTCAAAGTCTTTGACTCATCTCCACGCAGCTCGTGATCTCTCAAAGGCTTGCAGCGCTTGCGCTCGCCTTAGAGCCTCTACTTCCCCTCAATGATGGCTTCACACGGCAAGCTCTATTGCCCGCACGCGGCTTGTCGGACATGCGCTCAAGCCACTTGGACAGCGATTCTGGAGGACCTCACTGTCCGAACACCAACCATCCGCTCCTTCCGATGGAAGCCCACACTGTAGGCAGCAGCTTTTGCCCTGCCTCAGGCACTTGACACCCGGTTGTATGAGAAAAGGGAGAAGCTGAGAGAAAACCATCCCCATGCCAAGACCATGAACATTCTTGGTGAACTCATGACAACCAAGTATTGCAACAGGCTTCCACGCCGGAAGCGAAGAAATGGATCTGTCTTGCTGATCATCGAATCCGAATAACGTTGCTCTGCCTTCTCATTCCCAGCGCGAACAATCCGTGCAGGCACACTGGCTGGGCAAACGCAAACGATAAACAACTGCTGCCACCACTTGCTATGTTGGTCCGCAACCACTCTATTGCTGCATCCTCATGCGGCCTCCAGACATCAAAGCTGCTGGTCAACCTGACTGCTATGTGGATTGCGCAATAAAGCCGCGGAATGCACACTCTGAGCTTGTTGCTTCCGCATACATTTTGCCTTGCAGGCCACAGAGAGTACGATTCCAGTTTGAGTCGCCTGCCCGTCTAATGAAAAGCTCTGGTACACAACCAACTCCGAACCAATATCATGTTGACCGCTGATCACGACCCTCTCCACGCATGTGTTAAACAGAGAACCCCTGGACCCTGAATGACCGGCCGTATTCACCAGACGTTTAAGATCAAGCCTCCTTGAGCTTGTGCTGAATTTGGACCCAATGTATCAGCAAGGGTGAGCCTGGTAAGGCAGGCTGCATCTTTCGCTTGAACCAGGCCGCTATTCATCACGCCGTTCATGATGCCCACGATGCTTCCCTGCAACATCCTGAGCTCACGGTGCATGTGAGAACAACCAGCTGGTGAAAAGAGGAGCTCTTTTAGGAGCTCGTTTTTTTTCCTTCTCAATTTTGGGTTGGTTTGAATGGACGCCGCCAGGAACACAACGTGGAAACTACCTGAGAGCCCTAGGAAGACTGCAGCTCTCAAGGCATCAAGGCTGGAACACATCTTCGGCCTGAGGGAAACAAAGGCGAATCCTGAAACCACGCTGAAACCACGGCAGGGCGGGGATCAGAACTCACCTTCGATCGTGACCTTTGCTTTGGCGCACCAAACATGGTAACACACGTCCTATCAAAGCAAGCGCTTTGCGCGCAGCAAGGGTGGAGTTATCTAGACAATTAGGGCGCCTTCAATACTACTCAATCCAATACAATATATCCAACCCATGTTGGTAAATTACATTCAAAAAATGCATAGTGTGTGAAATCAACAAATGTCATATCTTATGTCTCGCCTTGCCCCTCTGTCCCTAGCACCGCAAGGGCAATAATCTCAAACCTGCCATCCCTTCAGTTCAAGTGTTGATTAGTTACATCCCCTCGCCGCTGCCATCCAAGTCTCGTGATCATCATACTTGCCTTGCTGCCAGCTGCAAGATAGGGAAGTGTCACCTCCCTGCAAGGGGCGCGTCGCGCTGCAAACCGAGCCTGTAAACTGCTTTTAAATCAGGCCAGATAACAATAAATAACAAACACGCAAACAAAACAAACGGACAAACAAACAGACAAACAAACAATACAAACAAACAATCGGACAGACAGACCGACAGACAGACAGACAAACAAACAACATCAACCATCATGCAAATATGCCTCAACAAATGTTTTCCCCAGAACGAGAAGCGATGCCCCGTCTCGGACGAACTAAGTTCTCTCAAGAGAAACAGGACCCGACTGTCAACCAGCATTGGAGAATGTTGACCATTGGAGCACAAACCATCCTTTCAAAAAGCAACAACAAAACACCCTATTTTGGAAACGACATGTCATAGTGTGATTTAGACTTTGAAAACTGCTCGGATCCAGAAACACCATACCATATACATATATATATATATATGTACATAAATATATATAAGTTGCATTTCACCCACCCGCCCGCCCGCCCACCCACGCCCCCTTGGTACTTTGCTATTTTGACAAGGTAGTGGTTCGAATCGTTTCAAACTCATGGGCACTTGTCAAAACCTGAGTCTTGCTTTCACCCCGATCTATGAACCAGGAGAAACTACTTGTTTCCCCAAACTGTGGAAGAATTGGGTGGCCTTCCCAGGTCCCCAAACCGATCTCTGATCCAAATGCTGCGACCAAACGGTTTGGCCCGAAAGCGACGGCATGGAAAGCAACGCCTACTCCAGAGGTAGAGCAGGACATTCAAAAGGCACAGGAAGATCACCACCTGCAGGCCCAAGGGAAGGAAGAGTCATGAGCCTTGGTCCGTAACGGACCCTAAGAATCACTCATGATGTGGCTCCCCTTGCAGCCACCGTTCTGGTTTCGAGCCTTTGGATGGGCATAGAGGGTATCTTGGAATCCTTGGAATTGCGGCTCCCCCACTTTCCTGTTTAATAACCCCGAAGGGCCATGCCGCCACGCCCTGGCGTCTGCTCTGACGGATGAAACACGACTATTCCTGTCGACCTCAGAAGCAACGCGGCGGTTCTGCTTGAACTGTTGCACATGTCTTTCCAAAGAACATTGCAAGGACATGCTTAACGCCTCAACCGGGGCTCTGCACAAGGTACCCGCCCAATTTCGAACATTTAAACCAGCCGCGCCAAAGACTAGCCTAAAACTCCACAAAGACTCCAGTTCAAGAACTGGGGTAAGAAACCTACCTGGCTAAATGGCAAAGGACCCGACATGGATTCTCCCACCAACTTGCCAAGGCCTTAGGGCGATCAAGATGTGTACCATGGTCAAACTTCCCTGTGAAGGATGGCTGTATCAACATGAAGCCTCATGACTCATGCTGGTTTGCCTCAATACTTAAGGTCTGAGAATGTCATGCGTGTATACATATGAAATAATACAACTGTATACATATACACCTGTAGGCATGTATATACATATATATGTATGTATTCTGTATCATATAACAATATCTTCGTGAAATCATTGTTTGCTCCCGGGTACCAGATCCGCTTGATCGACGATATATTTGTTGGTGAAGGCAGAGCGCGCCCCGCCCCGCCTGGAGGAGCGCCCTCCTGACGTGTGAGGGGGACCCGACCAGGGTGGATATGGCTCGTCTCTTGAGTTTGGAGTTCGTAACCCGTTTGCTCGCTTCCAAAAAGAAAGCTCATTAATGAAAACCCCCAATTTGGGGTCCCCCCCAAAAAAAAACAATCCAGATGGATCCCAAGATGTGAATCTGAATTGGGAACACGGCCACATCCGGCTCCGAACTGCCGGGCTGCGCAAGCACTTGAAGCTCAAGGCGCCATGGCAAGAGCTCCAAGGCGCTTGGAACAGGAAAGGTCCACCCAAATAGGACCAGCTTGGCTTTGAATTGTGCAGACTCGAGCTTGGCTTCGGAAGGCCTTCCGCCTTCCTGCAGCTACGCTGAAATAGATGGGGCCTGGGTGCATGGGCCCTATGCTGAAGTCTTGATGCAAATGGCGACTCCAAATCCAAACCACCAGCGCCGATTGAGGGAAGGTAACCTGGACACGGGCCACGAAAATCGGACATTTCACAGCTCACCTTCAAGCCGTGGATCTTTGAGATCCATTTCTGCCGAAATGAGAAGATAAGTTGTCAAGACTCAAGACCTCAGGCCTTGGGCTGAGACATCGGAATCCCCAAATACTCTCCTGGGTCTGCCATGATTAAGACGAATTGAAATTATGAACTCAAAGGACCCCACAAAAGAAACCGGTGTTCGGGGATACCATGGTTTAGACTATTTGAATTGGACAACTCGAAGCTTCTGCAAAAAGACGGATCATGTGTGAAATCGGTGGATTTCAACCCCCGAAGTCGCAACGTCGATCGGGCTCCTTTCGTTCTTCACAATGGTATCGTCCGGAACCTGGAGATTCTGCCAGAACACGTCCGGCGGCTCAGACTTCACCACCGACGCCTCAAGTCGCACATCGAGCCTTTGCCGTTTTGGGCTCTGGATCTCCTTACCTCGAAAAGGCCCTTTTCGAGGCTCCAAGACTACATGTTTGCTCGGGAATGCAACCATTGCCCTCGGAAACCCCAACCCCCACCCCCAATACCTGGTCCCGACGCATGCAAGAAAGTTCAGAAGCAAGGAGGGCAGACTTCCTCTTCCATAAACAATACATAACATGGCCATGACTCCATGACTAATGTCAATGAAAATCAAACATCCTGCCAAAAGGCTGATCTCCTACTGCCAAAAAGCATAAGGATAGCCAAAGAGCAACAGAAACCAGGACGTCAAAGACCTAGACTGCGTAATCCAGTTTTAAGCTTGTTTTAATGCTGAACTACTCAGGAAGGACTATTGTTTGGCAACAGCGTTGGATGCTGGTGACCGCTGCCATGCTTCAATAGCACCACTGTTCATCCAGAATCCAATGACGAGTCTGCAGAATTGGCACATACGTCTCAACTGGTGGCATCCACAATCCTGTTCAAACGGAACGAGAGGCAGTTTGTCAGGAGCGGAACATTTGCCATTCCTATTGCTGTCACAAACCCGCAAATAAGCGAGCGATGACTGCATTCTGCCATCAGAAACATGGCAACATGCATGGGCGCTTCTGCTATCATCACCAGAAACGGCAAACATTCAGCATGCTCTGTGCAAAGGACAGCGGAACTTGACATGATGGCATCCTCCTCCGGCCTGCTTGCGCCATCTGACACAAACATGAATTAGGCTTCAATCAAGGCCGCGCTGACCCATGTGTAAAACTGTGGTATGAACCCTGGCTTATTTCCATGGCTCAATGATGGGAGCCTCCATTCACAATGCCATAAAACTCATAATGTGGAATGTATACAACCAGCCGTTGATACAAGTGATTGAGGTTTTTCATATTTGCACAGAGGAAGGACGGGGACGGAGAGTTCGTGACCATGCCATGAACCTTTACTGCTGGCCTCTATGACTTTTCCTCGGTACTCGAAGATCTTTTTGTTGGTCTTGTACTTTGACATGACGCTGTCCTGCGGGCACGCCACCATCCAAACCGGCAACTTCCGTGGGAAACTATGCTGCGAGCTTTGTCCACGTGCTGGCAGTGAGTTCCCAAGGAACGCATTTCTCATACCATCTTTGCAAAGATGTGGCTTGTGATGACAGCTGCGCAACTTGTCCAACGTCTGTGCAGCCACAGGATGTCGCCCCGCATCAAATCTGAGGAAACGATCTTGATGGCATAATCTACACACTGCAACTTTCACATTGCGCGTGCTAAGGCCCAAGTTGCATGCGGTTTGCTTCCGCTCTGTGGAAACGGCCGCAGGCCGCGGCGCTCCTTGAAGGTGTTGAACTTGAAAACCAGGAACACCTGTCCTGACAGTACTGTGTGCGGAATCACTGTAGAACGACGTCGTGGGGCTCGTCCGAATGCTTGAGCAAACAGACCTCAAATACACAAGGAGACGTTGTACCTTGGAAACAGGTCAACTAAATAGAAAGATCACCTTGTCATGGGTACACGAGTACATGAAGAAACTCACCTCCTCGGAAGACCTGTAAGAGTTGGGATGAGTTGTTAGGAAAATGAGAAAACGCAAGTTCACTCTAAGAACCTATCACGGGCCATCCATGACTCCCTGGGTTCGGGCAGTGGCCATCGGAGCCTCCACCTGACTTGAACCCTTTTGCAAACTCGCAAGCTGCGTTGCTCAAACGCATCTGCGCGGGCCCGCCCACTTCTGCGCGCGTCGCGCTTGTTCCGGTAAAATCACGCGCCTGTAGACTCGTGGAGGGCCGCGGCGGCGAGAAAGTTGGCATAACGCGTACGCGCGCAAATTAGCTTAAAACCCCTTTGGGGCCTCGGCGCAAGAGCTCCTTTCGGAGAAGGTTTGAACAGGACGCTTTGAACGGCACTCCAGCGTTTGTCCGTCGCGCGCTTACGCGGGCACGGGTAATTGGCTCGCGCGAGCTCGCGCGCCGTGCGCTTGCGCGACACTTGCGCGCCCTAATGCCGCAGCATGGCGGCCTTATGTGGGGGATGCCCACCCCTCAGCTCAAAAGCGGGTTTGAGAGCAACTAAAAAGCGCGCGGAGCGCTCAACAGACATCGGCCAAGGAGCCATCGGAGCTCTTTGACTATTTCACAGTGGCGCAACTCGGCAGGTCAGGAATGGTTGTGCTTCGGGTGTCACTTCTTTGACGAAAAGTCGCTGGCTACGTCTGGATCTGAACTGGCCTTCTCCTTCTCAACGTTGGTTTCGTTAGATTGCCCGGAGTCTGACCGTTCACGAGCAACATCAAAGACCTTGCCTGAATCCATAAAACAGATGCATGCAAACGCAGGGCAACACCCACGCCGACTCTTCCAAACAGACTAGATTCGATCTTTTCCTGTCAGTTGCCTCCAGTGAAGAATCCAAATCCAGCTCCGGCTTCAAATACTTCAATTTGCGGGACATTGCCTTGCTTGCGAAATTGTTTTACCACTAGAAGTTGATAACTCTGAACTATTTACGACCGAAGTTTCAATAGGAAGAGCTCTTTCAGAAAAGACACATGCAGTCAAACACAGCAGCCAAAAGAGTGGAAGTGGATCTTACTTACCCTGCCGTCCCCGCGATGCCTTCGCCTTCGGCCACTGAATCACACTCATTCAACTCCTCTCTTTGGATTCCATGCTGTAGAAAGAGTGAATGCCAAAGAAGACCTGCATGATACACCCCCTCCGACCAACATAGGACGTGAGTTTGAATTGCGTTTCAACATGGAACCAAACTGGAAGGGTTTCAACTAACATGGAAGCAAGTGCAAAATGGCTAGACCCCGCAGGGACCCTGCAATTCTCCAGGATTCCAGAGTATTCTGTCCAACTTTCACGTTGGCTGCAAACAGGCGGGTGGCTTGGTGTTTTTTTTTGGTGTTTCTTTTCAAATCACGACGGTTCCACGTTAACTCCGCAGCGGGACTTTTCTGCTTCCTTAGCCTGTTAAGATGGAACCTGAATGCGGGCCTGGAAGACATTGGTGAATCCCGCGTTAGGAGTGAGGATGGTCGATCACTGAGGGTATCTTGGGATCTACAATCATGCGTTTTCACATGCTTCCAGGTTCAGTCAGCCTCCATGTTACTCTCGCACCGAGTAACGTAGAACCCCAGTTTTGCACAGCTTCCACGTTAACAACAGCATTGATAGCCATAGTTCTTGCACCGGTGTAGTTGATTAATCTTTTTCAGATTGCCTGCGGCTGTCATTTCTGCCTCGTCGGCTTAAGTGTGTGCCCCTGGGCCCACCCAGTACAACCCTTTTGGGGGAAGGGTCTTGCCAGCAAGGTTCCTGCAATTACGAACGTGGAATCGCGAACGTAGAACAGGGATCAAGCGGCTTTGCCAGTTTGCTTTTCTAAATCAAAACGTGGAAGCCCAGCAAACACTCGGATTTAATACGAACAAAAATCGGGGTTCTACGTTAATCGGCCTCAGAATCCTTCGGGAGAACAGGAAAACAGCTACGTCTGCAGCGACAGCTGCACTTTTCTCCCCTTGCGCCCTTCCATTTCCTACCACCTGGGAAGCCAGACCTTACACTTTGCCCCCCCCCCCCCGTCCACTAAAAAAAAAGGTAAGCTGTTGACCCCAACGCGCCTAAGTTACATTTTCGGTAAACGTGAATAATTGTAGCATTTTTGGACCCCTCATTTTCGACCATTGAGGGTGTAGGGATTGCAGTCCTGCTTTCACTGCGCGAAACAAGCAAAATGGACCGAGAATCGCGAACGTGGAGCCCAACGAAACCCCCCTCGAAGCACTGTATGTGCAGCATGTTTTTCATTCACGTGGAACTCCCACAGACCCCCCACATTCCCGGGATTTTTCAGCAAACCGGCACCACATCATCCGGATTTCAGGTTGATGTTCCGGTTTGTTTTCCTCCATGGAAATGTCAACGTGGAACCCTCCAACACCTTCTTTGGGCGCAGTCAATGTTACTCGGTGCGCAAGTACAATGACGGGAGTTCGCCCATGTTGCCCCACACGCCCCCCACTCCCCTCCTCCCCCTCCTCCGGCCTGTGGATTTCATCGCCGTGCCGCTGCTGAACCACTGACTAACCTCCGCCGGAAGCAACACGAACAATGCTTTGTCCCAAGACCCTCGGACTGTCCATCCTTGGCCTAGAACCATCCCAGCGTCCCAAATCCCAGAAGCACTTCGCACCATGTGAGTCCTGAGCCTCGAGCAACACTCTGCCCATTGAAGCGGGATACCTATCTCTGACTGCTCAGGAAATCACATACACTGCCAGCCCTACCTTGCTTCTAGCGACAAAAAGAGTGCTGAAGTGTTTGATCTACTTCTCTCCATTGACGACCCCCCGTGCATAGCTTCAGCTCGCTGAGATTGCTGTGAGTGCTTTTCCATCTTATCATGCAGACTGCCGTGGGCACTTGGAGTAGCTAGAACCCTTGTAGTTTAGACAACCCTTGCAGTTTAGACAAGCCCAAGCCATCAGTCTCAACTGGGATTTCATTCAAAGAAGATATGGGCACCATGAGACGATTGGCGGCTGGCTGAATGTTTGGCAGCATTCTGCCATCCAGAAAATGCCAAAGCGCTTCCAAGCTTCCAAAGATGCTGCTGACCCATTACTTGACCAAACATACAGTGGAGAGTTTGCTAAATCCATTTCGCACCCAAGAAACCCAACGGGATGCTCCGATTCCCCAACGTACATACCAACAAACATTAGTTTCGACCTTTTTTCTCGTTTCGCGGTGCGAAATGGATTTCGCAACATGCCGCAACCACAGTGGGTTGCAACAGTGGGTTCTCTTGACTGGACAGAACCTTTTCTTTTTCTCCCTCGCAACTCCCCGGCAGGGCGCCTGCTTGCGGTCTTCCAGCCTCTTCGCTTCCAGGCCGACGAGC